TTGTTCATCAATATCTAAAGCGATTGACGTTGTTGTACAAATCTTGAAATTCTCTCTAAGTTAACTGGGTATATGTGTGTGAATGTTCGTAGCGCGTTACAGTCAAAATAATTATATGAATTTAATCTTCTATCATGTGGAGATATAACAAAAGGTAATATCCAATTGTATAAAAAATTTCACGTCATCTACTAATACCTATGGTGCTATGGTAGTATTAAAGGCTACATTTAGTTTAGGTGATCGAGTTTTATCAGACAATCAATAAAGACTAAAAAAATATTTATTGGATCCTTTAATATGTTTGGATGACTGAAAATGTATGGAATTATGTATTCAAAAATAAATTGACACTATAATGGCCGAAGAGTTGCCACAGATCCATGCATAAGGATATTATAAGTTTTTAAATTTATTAACTTGAAAAAAACGTAATTTTTATATTTATTCATTTCAAGAAAAATTCTACATGAAATATTTTATTCGAGTACAATTTTAACGCAGCCTACATTGATTATAGTCGATCCCAATCCCGGAAAAAGAGGAGGGCTGTAACTTTTATTTAATTTATAATTCGTATAAATTGCCCAAATTTTAAATTCTTTAAAAAAATGTTAGAATTGTCATGACTTAAAAAAATTGAGTTGGCCGACTCGCTAAGGCCCGAGCCGAAAAGCTCCAATCGACTCTAAATTTTTTGGTCAAGCAAAAGCTCAACTCGAGCCAAAAAAGCTCGGACCATTTTTACTCGAGTCAAGTTCTAATCCGAGCTTCAAATTTCGGCTCGCGGCTGAGCTCGGCTCGTTAACATCCTTTGGTTGAGGTTAGGATGGTGGATGGCGGTGGGGGTTGGGAAGAAGATAGTCTTTTCCAAATTCCTTTTCTCTTATTATTTTCGATTTAATTATTTTATTAAAAACATAAAATTACAATTTCACCTTTTTTAAATTAATCAAAATGTTGTCCAATGGATTTTTTTGGATCAATCTGTCCTCCAAGTGTAATTGTGGGTGCAAAAATGAAGGATTTGGATATAGTTTGTAACAATTTAAAAGGTGTAAAACCCTAGCTACAATTATCCAAACTATTGGGATACAAATTAGCCAACTTAACTCAGAAGATTATTTTATCTTTTGGTCATGAAATCCAAAATAAAGAGGCTAAGAGCATTAAAAATATGTTTTTGAAAAAGAAATAAAATATTATTTGTGAATTAATTGGTTACTCGGTGTTTCCATTTTTAGTTCTTGCCCAAAAAATAAATAAAGTAGATGAAAACTATAAATAAGAAAAAGAATAAAAATGAGTTACTTTAATTCTGAAATCTTTGAATTTACAAAAATGTTTTTGAATTTACAAAGATTACGGAAATATTTTTTAGTACAAGTGTGATAATGTGCTATTTGTTTTTCTTAATGCATCTTTCTTTGTGAATAATATGAGTATTTATAGACGCTGTACATCACGTCTATTATTTTGATATTGTATCACTTCAAAAGTCTGCAATCTATAATTAAAGAGAAAGTAATAAATAATGTAAAACTTTACAGGTGTGCAATTTTAAAATGATTGTACGAAATTATTGACAAGTTTTTCTTCATTCTGACAACCTTATCTTTGGGCTTTCTCTTTTTGTTGACTTTGCTTGATAATTGAGTAATATTCTTTGTTCTTTATGTCTTTTCATCTTTCTTAATTATTGCACTTATCTGTCCATTATTTCAATGTAGGCTTCTTCTGGCTTTGGATCTATTTTATTGTCTTTGCTATCGGATATGTATTCTTCTTCTGTATCTGATTGGGTTCTGTAAATTCTCCATCAGTTTCCTAAAACGTCATCAGATATAAATTCTTTTGCTCAATATTTGGTACTGAAATTTTTTCTGTTCTATTCTTATAGTGAGGTGCTCTTGGCAGAAAATAACTCCGTTATTCCACTGTGCTACCAGTTTGAAATCATTACTTTGAACTTTCATCATTGTTGCGGTTTCTGAGATCCATCTTTCACAATCAATTTATCGAATTTTTATTTTACTATTAGTTTTTGAAGAGGGTCTGAATCTTATAGCTCCTTCATATATTAAAATTTGATAATAGGTTGGAATTACAATACTATTATTTACAGGAGGGGTATCGAAATGAACTGAATCATCAAGGATGATTTTTTAACTGATCAAGAACCTGTTTAAATTTTGATGGAAAAAATCTGAAAGATATATATATATACACACACACACACACACACACACCAAATTGAAAAGCTGGGTAAAAAATGTATTCTTCCTCAAAAATTGTATAATCAAAGGAAATTGTGGGATAATTGCGTTTAAGAAAGGCTGAATTTTTTGCTATTTTGTATTTGGAACCATGTTTAAAGAAGTACCGGGTTTCATTGTAATAGTAACTTAAAATTTGAGCAAAATTTATAAATTTCTTGCGCAAGTGAATTCTTTATAGAATTTCGAACAATACTGGTGCAATCACAAATTTTTTGTTCTAATTAATATAAAATCTTTTCTCGTCATGCAGCTGTAGAATCTATTAGTTCAATAAGTCTTTCTATCTTATCAAAATAATTTCTACTTATAGAAGCAATATCTTTAGAAAATAGTTCTTTTAAGAGTATTTTTAGAACTATGTCTTTTTAAACTATCTTGTAACTGAAAATTTTCATTTTGATATTTACTAGTAGTCTGTTGGAATGAAGAAATTTCATCTTATTGATCTGTAGTCTTTCTTCTATTGAATGCTTTTTGAGATTCAAATTTTTAACAACGTTGGTCACAGTTTTCGCAATTATCGCAAAGTTGTATTAATGAAGATGATGATGCTTAAGAAGTAGTGGTTTGCATAGTCTGTCTAACTCTTTCAGATATAAACAAAAAAAAAAGTTAAATCCTATCATTTCTCTACAAAAATTTAAAGATTCTTCGAGTATATAAAATCTTTTGAAAAAGGGGTCAGAAGATCTTAATATTTTTTTGTAATACTTCCGGCAAATAATTATATATATCAGGCTTTCTACCATTAATTACTGCGAAAAAACTAAAATTTCTATCTTCTACTTGATTATGAATCTATCTAAAATGATTAACTAGGACATTAATGCTGTCTAATTTTTATTTAAAGTCACATGTTATCAAAAGATTATCTAGTAAACAACACTTCCTTTCCTGTAGCCTTTCTAAATTATTTCATCTGAATCGAAGATTAGATCCTTAAGAGGCTACTCTTAAAGTGACATTCCTAAAGTTCATCATCTTTTGATCCATTTGCATCATGAAGATACTGTGTTATAAAATTAATAATGTGCCCACTTAAATTATCTGCTAAAATATTATTTTTTCCGTCTATTTGTTCTATATTAATTTTATAGCTACTTAATATCTCATATAATTTTAATCATGTTTTATGTTTTATTCTATCAAAGTTTGTCTTTTTGATAAATTTTATTATAACTTCACAATTTGTTCTTATTGTAAATTCAATGTTTAAGAATAATTTAAAATTTTATATACTATGTATGATAGCCATTATTTCATAATCTAAGTTAGTTAAATATTTTCTGATATCTACAAATCTTTTTTTCATTTTTTATCAATATATTTATTTGGTTTGGAATATAAAATTTATCCCCATCCTAATTTACATTCATCTGTTTCTATTATTTTATATTCACTACCTAATGGTGGTAAATTTTTAAATTCTTATTTTATTCTTTTAACAAATTCAATATCTGATTGATTAAAATAATTTTGTCCTTTATTAGATAATTAACTATATAATGGTCCTACTTTCTTTCCTAAGTTTTTGATAAAATGTCTAGTACAATTTAATATTCATAGAAAAGCCTATAATTTCTTAGTTTCTTCAATTTTATCTGAAAATTGTAAAGTTGTCTACCGAATCTTTCATTCTTCTAAAACTATTCCTAAAAATTCAATTTTTTTGTTTATTTATTCCATATTCTTTTTACTTATAATTATACTATTTCTATAAATTTATTCAAAGTTATGCTAGATGTTTCTTATATTCTTTATAATTTTTACTATATACTAAAATATCATCTATATATACACAAACAAATGAGAGAGAATTAAATATACTATCCATCTTTCTTTAAAAAATAGAGAGTGTATTTTTTAATTCAAAATGCATGACTAACCATTCAAAGTGTCCTAATGGAATAATAAAAGTTGTCCAAGAAATGGAGTTTTTTGATACTCTTATTTGCCAAAATTCAGATTTACAATCAAATTTAGAAAATATCTTGCTATTTTGTATTTTATTTATTAGTATATCTTTGTTTGATATCTTATATCCATCTTCTATAGTATTATCATTTAATCTTTTATAATTTATAACCATTTTTGTTTTTCCTCTTTTTATTTCACAATGATTTTTAACCATAAAGACTGTTAATCTGTGTTGACTATTAGATGGTCTTATAACTTCTAAATCTAATTACTCTTTAATCCGTATATTAAAATCTTCTATATTTTGATTTGTATGTTTTATTTTCGCTGTTCTAATTTTTATATTTTCGTTTATGATTTCTAATTTAATTTCTATTTTATTTTTATCACAATATTTTATTAGGTCTTCTCCTATTATTTGAATTCTTTCTGCTAATTTTAAGATTTTGTTTATAATATCTATCTTAGAAGATGTCTTATTAAAAATTATTAATTCTTTATTTCTTAATATAATAAAACCCCGACTTATGTATTGTTCATTTACGTAATTACCACTTTTATTGTATCTTCTTTGATGCCCATTTTCGGGTCAAAATGTATTTAAGAGTAGGGTTGTTAAAAAATATTTCGACAAAAAACTAGAAAAAGATATAAGAGAACGGGTGTTTGAAATTGATTTTTTTTTTTTTAAAAAAAAAGAGTTTTTGGAAAAAATTTGGCCAAATATAGGCTTATTTTTTCTTGTTTCTATTTTTCGTAATTAAGGATTTTTATCCTTATAATATTTCTATTTATTTTCAATTTTCATTTTATTAATTCCCCTTCTCAGGCACGCATTTTTTGGACCGCGATCAATCCCTGGTTCTACAGAATTCGGTTACAATTGAAATTCATTCGGGGTTTGCATTACCATTAGGGTTGTGCCGTGTTTCGATTCCAGCTGAATCGATAAAGATTTTGGGAATTAGGGGTTTTTTTTTTATTCCGTTGTTCTTCTGTGAGTGATATGATAATAATTTGGAGATCGGAGGATGGTTTGATCGCCGATTAATCGGCGAGTGAAATCTCATGTTCTGAAGGGATTTTGTATGGAAACTAGGAGTCGGAAACGTGCGGAGGCATCCACCCCAGCAGTGCCTTCTTCTTCCTCCTCTGGCCCCACCACCCGTACCGCCAAGCGTGCTCGCCATTCCGCCGCTGCCGCTTCCACCACCACAATTACCACCGCTACTACTTCCGCCATCACTTCTGCGAATTCCACACGTTCCCGCGCCGCTGCTCGATCCAAAGACTCGCTAGTGTTGTCCACTTCAATGGACCCCGCTGCTGATCCCTCGGCTGCCTCTGCATCCTCTACCCGAACTCGCCGCGGCAAAAACCCTGCTACTCAAAATTCGGATAACAATGACAATACAAATTCCCATAAAGGCAAAGAAAAAGAACATGGAATCAGGGTTAGGGATAGAGATAGAGAAACAGAAAGGAGTTTAGGGTTTAACGTTGATTCCCACAGCGGGGAGGATGACGACAATGATGGTGAGGGTGGGGTCGGAAATTTTCATCAGAATTTGACTTCTGCAAGCAGTGCCCTTCAGGGGCTGTTAAGGAAGCTAGGGGCTGGGTTGGATGATCTGCTACCGAGCTCTGCAGTGGGGTCTGCTTCATCCTCCCACCAGAGCGGGCGGCTGAAAAAGATGTTATCCAGTTTGAGGGCTGAAGGTGAGGAAGGGAGGCAAGTTGAGGCATTAACTCAGCTTTGTGAAATGCTTTCCATTGGAACGGAGGAGTCTTTGAGTACATTCTCGGTGGATTCTTTTGCACCAGTTCTCGTGGGGTTGCTTAATCATGAGAGTAATCCCGATATCATGCTTCTGGCTGCCAGGGCGCTGACTCATTTGGTTGACGTGCTGCCTTCTTCATGTGCTGCCGTGGTGCATTATGGTGCCGTCTCGTGTTTTGTTGCTCGGCTGCTTACTATTGAGTACATGGACTTGGCTGAACAGGTGAACATGCTTTGGACTTGTGTTTGCTTGAAAGTTGTAATGATAATTCATTTAATTAAAATTTTATGACTGTTCTTGTCACTCTACTTCATGATGATATGCTGAACTTTTCTAGAATTGCTGAAATTTTCACGTATTAAGTTCTGAATTGTGATTTGATGCTTGTTTTGGTTGGAACAGTCTCTGCAAGCTCTGAAAAAAATCTCTCAGGAACACCCCACTGCTTGCTTGCGAGCAGGTGCACTTATGGCTGTGCTTTCATATCTTGATTTCTTCTCTACAGGAGTTCAGGTGATTTATTGAGGGACAACTAGTTGTGGTTACATAGATTTTAGAAGCCTTAAAAACTTTGTTTTCGGACAATTAGTTGTGGTTATGTAGAATTTGGAAGCCATAAAAAACTTTGTCTTCTCCAAATCTATTCAAAAGATTGATCATGATTTTTTCTTAATTATGTGTCAGAGAGTGGCATTATCAACTGCTGCAAACATGTGTAAGAAACTACCTTCAGATGCAGCTGACTTTGCGATGGAAGCTGTTCCATTGTTGACTAACCTCCTTCAGTACCATGATGCAAAGGTTAGATAATAGTTTTTCAGATTTAAAATAATAAATGCATCCATTCTGATTTACTAACTAGCCTCTCTCTTTCTGCTCGAACATCTACCTTCCATGCTTCACGTGTTTGTTTTGTTTATAGGTTTTAGAACATGCATCTATTTGCCTGACACGGATTGCTGAGGCATTTGCGTCGTCTCCAGAGAAGCTTGATGAGCTCTGCAATCATGGACTCGTTACGCAAGCTGCCACCCTAATTTCACCGAGCAATTCTGGAGGTGGCCAGTCTGTCCTTAGCACTTCTACATACACGGTTAGTTGAACTATCATTTTCAATTAGCTATTAACTATTTTTGTTATGCGGAGGCTTGATTATGACCTAATAAGCACACAGGGCTTGATCCGACTGCTTTCAACATGTGCAAATGGTTCTCCTCTAGGAGCAAAATCCCTCCTCCTCCTTGGAATCAGTGGCATTCTTAAAGATATCCTATCAGGGTCTCGCACTGTATCAAGCATGTCCGTTTCACCTGCATTAAATAGACCCCCGGAGCAGGTATTTCTTTTTTTTTTTTATCTATTTTACCTGGTTCCTGCACATTTTCCCGGTTTATATTGTGAAAGTGACTAGAATTTCACTTGCCTTTTGACTATTTTCCTTTATCTTAATACTTAGCGACATTTTTGTTTTGGGCCCTCCATAATATAAAATTAAGGCTCTTTCCCATATTATCAGATTTTTGAAATTGTGAACCTGGCCAACGAGCTTCTTCCCCCACTGTCTCAAGGAATCATTTCTCTTCCAATGGGCAGTAATCTGTTTGTCAAACCTTCCTTTTCTGAGTCGGGTCCTGCAGGCAGTTCCAGCAAAGAGAAAGAGTCCAATGGAAATGTGCAGGTGGTCTCAGCTCGAGAGAAATTATTGAATGATCAGCCTGAACTTCTGCGGCAATTTGGAATGGATCTCCTTCCTGTTCTAGTTTCGGTCAGTTTTCAGCAGTAGAGTAGCTGTGTATTACTCTTCTATGTTTTAATAAATGTTGTGACATGATTTTTATGCAGATATATGGTTCCAGTGTTAATGGCCCTGTTCGCTACAAGTGTCTTTCAGTTATTGGAAAACTGATGTACTTCAGCTCTGCAGAAATGATTCAGTCTTTGATAAGCGTCACAAACCTATCTAGGTATATAGGTTTGCTAGACTACTTTTGCAGGATGTTTGATTAGCCAGTATAAATATACTCATTTGTTTCTTGTTTTAATTAGTTTCTTAGCTGGAGTTTTGGCTTGGAAAGATCCTCAAGTGCTGGTACCCACCCTTCAAATAGCAGAAATTTTAATGGAAAAACTTCCTGCTATTTTCTCCAAGATGTTTGTCAGGGAAGGTTTTGTGAATGCTGTGGATTCTCTTATACAAACTGGATCTACAACAACTGCTCCACAGTTGTCTTCCAGTGAAAAGAATAATGATTCTATTCCTGGAGCGTCGTCGCGTTCTAGGCGAAATCGGCGACGGGGTGGTAACTTAAATTTAGATGCAAATACTGCTGAAAAACCTAAAATCTCAGTTTCCAGTATTGGTTCTTCTCCTAATCATGTTGCTGTCACTGTGTGTGCAAAAGCATTCAAAGATAAGTATTTTCCCTCAGATCCAGAGGCCAGTGAAATTGGTGTCGCAGAGGATCTACTACGATTAAAGAATCTTTGCACGAAGCTGAATGCAGGTATAGATGAGCAAAAGACTAAATCAAAGGGGAAATCAAAAGCTTCTAGTGCTCGGATGACTGAAATTTCCTCTAGTAAAGAGGAACACTTGGTTGAGGTGATAACTGAGATGTTGGAGGAACTCAGCAGAGGGGATGGTGTGTCGACTTTTGAGTTTATTGGTAGTGGGGCTGTTGTCTCTTTGCTTAACTACTTTACTTGTGGATATTTCTGTAAGGATAGAATATCCGAAGCTAATCTGCCTAAGCTTCGAGAACATGCCATCCGAAGATACAAGTCTTTTGTTGCTCTTGCCCTTCCTTCGATTGTTGAAGAAGGGAGTGTTGCTCCCTTGAGCGTCTTAATTCAAAAACTTCAAAATGCCTTATCCTCTTTAGAGCGTTTCCCCGTTGTTCTTAGCCACACTTCCCGATCGTCTGGGAATGCACGACTTTCTTCTGGTCTAAGTGCCCTGTCTCAGCCATTGAAGCTGCGTCTTTGCAGAGCACCAGGAGAAAAAATGCTTCGTGACTATTCTTCGAATGTTGTACTTATTGATCCATTAGCAAGTTTGGCTGCTGTCGAAGACTTTCTCTGGCCACGAGTTCAACGTGGTGAATCTGGTCAAAAGCCTTCAGCTTCCGCAGGCAATTCTGAGCCTGGGACCACTGCTGCTGCAGCTGGTGCTTCTTTGCTGTCAACTTCCACCCCTGCTTCTGCTACTCGAAATCATTCAACGCGATCCAGATCATCTGTTAACATAGGCGGCACAGCAAAAAAAGAGTCATCAAAAGAAAAAATAACGAGCTCGTCAAAGGCAAAGGGGAAATGTGTTCTAAAGACAGCTCAAGATGACAGAAGAGGACCCCAGACAAGAAATTCTGCTCATAGAAGAGCGGCTCTGGATGAAGATTCCAAAGTGAAGCCTATGGATGGGGACTCTTGCTCGGTATGCTTTACATATTTTAAGATGTTCCATTTCCCAAAGATTGACATGTATTAGAGTCATATAATATTTATTGGCTTCCACATATACTTAAGGGTGCACATAATTATGTGAATATTTTTGAAATCAATTTTTCTAAAAAAAAAATATTTAGATATAAACTGTGTATAATCTCCCAAAGCTACGTTGTTTAAGTTTTTTGTTTCTTGTGCAAATCATTTGCATGGCTAAAGTGAACTGTTGAGTTGTTCAAATCTAGTTATGTTTAATAGATCTCTGGAATGTTTGTTTCCCAAGCTCATAGAAATTATTTCTGTGGATTTTCTTTTAAGCTTCGAGAATGCTCTACAGTAATCTTTTTCAGAATTTTTCTGCTATTTCTTAGACACGTAGGTGCCTCTAATACATGGACCTAGGAAGCAAACTGTGGCTTCCCTGTTAACGGATGAACTAAATTGTTCTTTGTTATGATTGTTTCATGGTGTTGCTTACTATTTTCTGCTTCTATTTGAAATTTCTGTTTTTCTATCTTTTAAAACTATTCGTGCACTTTGCAGGATGATGAATTGGATATATCTCATGTTGAAGTTGATGACGGTCTGCTGATTGAAGATGATGATATGTCCGATGAAGAAGAAGATGTATGTCACCAGATATCAGCTCCTTACAATTTTTGATTTGGGATGTGACTTTATAATTGAAACCTCCTAATTCAAAATATAAATGGCTTCTTGGGGTAATATTAGGGAGCCCAAGGGGGTTTTCATCTTATAAATCATGTTTCATAGGGAGTACCAGCGCAGTTTGTTGTATCATGTTCTGGAAGATAAATGGGCATGTTAATAAAACAGAGCTCTCATCATTATTTATGAATATAAGACTGGAAGTGGTGATCCATTATGTCAGATTAATTAAATATACAAACTTAACAAGCACTGAAAGATGTAGTTAAGCATATTTGAATATTGACTATTGCTTAGCAGTGAGATTAAAACCCAGTGCTTAAAAATGTGATTTATGCCACATTTTGAACCCGTGCTAAGGTAATTAAAGGTTTGTTTGACACATCTTATTTGAAAATCATTTTTATTCAAAACTCATTTTGAGCCGCACATTTTCCAAATAAAATAATTTGCACGCGGACTAGTAACTTTTTCTTAATTGTTAACCATATGTTCTCGAAAAAAACTCACTTTTTAGTTCAAATTATCTCTCCCAAACAAGCACTAACTTGGGCAGTGGTACAATCTGAAAAAATAGGAATTTTCCACCAAATGATTTCTTTTTCTTCTGATTGCATTCATTGTCTTAATTATTTTGCTGTCACTGACATGTTTCTCGTTGACAGGTAGTGAAAGATGATCCTCTTCCCGTTTGCATGACAGACAAAGTGCATGATGTTAACTTAGGTGACTCTGCCGAAGATAGTCCTGTTCCTGGTGCAAGTGACAGCCAGAATAATCCGAATTGTAGTTCTAGCAGCAGAGGCACTTCAGGGAAAGGGTCTGATAATACTGAGTTTAGGAGTGGGAGTTCTTTTGGTGCAAGAGGTGCAATGTCCTTTGCTGCTGCTGCTATGTCTGGACTTGCATCTGGTAACAGTAGATGTGTAACTGGAAGCAGAGATCATCAGGGACGTCCACTGTCTGGATCAAACGATCCGCCAAGATTAATGTTTTCTGCAGGCGGAAAGCAGCTTAGTCGCCACTTGACTATTTATCAGGCAATTCAACGGCAGCTTGTTCTGGATGAGGATGACAATGATAGACTTGCTGGCAGTGATCTAGTCTCTAGCGATGGAACCAGGCATTGGACTAACATTTACACCATCATGTATGAAAGGGCGGATTGCCAGGCTGACAGGCCCTCTGTTGGGTCCATGACCTCAAACATGCTGTCTAAGTCTACAAAAGCTTACACTTCTGGTAGTTTGAGCTCTGATTCATCACGGCATCGTGTATCACTCTTAGATAGCATTTTGCAAGGGGAACTTCCCTGTGATCTAGAAAGAAGTAATCCTACCTATAATATATTAGCATTATTGCGTGTATTAGAGGGGTTGAATCAGCTTGCACCACGTTTGCGATTCCTGGCATTGATTGACAGTTTCTCTGAGGGAAAAATTTCGAGTTTAGATGAACTTGGTGCCACAAGTGTTAAAGTTCCTCCTGAGAATTTAGTCAATAGCAAGCTTACTCCAAAATTGGCTCGGCAGATTCAGGACACACTTGCTCTTTGCAGTGGGTCTCTTCCATCATGGTGCTACCAGCTGACTAAAGCATGCCCATTTTTGTTTCCCTTTGAAACTCGGCGCCAATACTTTTTTTCAACTGCTTTTGGATTGTCTCGTGCATTGTACCGGCTTCAGCAACAGCAAGGTGCAGATGGTCATGGATCAGTGAGTGAAAGAGAGTTGAGATTTGGGAGAATACAGCGCCAGAAAGTTCGTGTTTCCAGGAATAGGATTTTAGATTCTGCTGCAAAAGTTATGGAGATGTATTGTAGTCAAAAAGCTATTCTTGAGGTTGAATATTTTGGTGAGGTGGGAACTGGATTGGGGCCTACTCTAGAATTTTATACCCTTTTAAGTCAGGACCTGCAGAAAGCTGGACTAGAAATGTGGAGGTCAAATCTGTCTCCATATACCCCTTCAATGGAAATTGACGAAAGTGGTTTGGATGGGAAAACTAATAGATTGACAGGGCTCAGTTCATCTGGGGATGATAAAGATATGATCCGAGCACCCCTTGGGTTGTTTCCACGACCCTGGCCGCCCAGTGCTGATACTTTTGATGGCAGCCAATTTTCGAAAGTAAAGGAATATTTCCGGTTGCTTGGGCGTGTTATGGCCAAAGCTCTCCAAGATGGGAGACTTTTGGATTTGCCGCTATCGGTTGCATTTTATAAACTTTTACTTGGTCAAGTAAGTTCCTTGCACCATTCTTATCATGAAGTGAGCTGTTTTTACTCCCATCTATTATCTATCAACTGTCTATATAGGTAGACTTAAATGAATGTTTCATCTTGTAATAAAAATTGCAGGATCTGGATTTGCATGATATCATTTCTTTCGATGCGGAACTTGGCACTACTTTACAAGAATTGCAAGCCCTTGTTTGCCGGAAACAGTATTTGGAATCAATGGGCATTTATAATTCAGACGAATTACATTTTCGTGGAAGTTCTGTTGAAGATCTTTGTTTAGATTTCACCCTTCCAGGTTATCCCGATTATGTTCTGAAATCAGGCAATGAGAATGTATGTTGCGTTCCCTTTGATTGTTCCTATGTACTTTCCTGATAGCTTTTATCCCTATTTTCCTTTTTTTTTTTGTTTGTTTTACCATTTAAAACTGTTCCCCCTCTGTTGAATTTCACAGGTTGATATTGATAGTTTGGGGGCCTATATAACCCTTATAGTTGATGCTACTGTGGGGACTGGCATCATGCGGCAAATGGAAGCATTTAGATCTGGCTTTAATCAGGTGTTTGCTGATATATTTTACCTCCATCAACTTTTGATGTCAAATACCTTTTTTTCTGCATATTTCTGGTCTAGAATGATAAGTAACACGTAGTTGGGAGTGTTCATTTTTTATTCATTGTTTTACACTTTGTATTGTCTTCCTTCTATCAATTGTGCATAGGTACTTTTCCTGCTGATTTTATGAGCTTTGCTCTCTATTGCACCTCTAGCTCTCCTATGTTTTTACGTTTATGAGTCTGCATTGGATGGTAGAGAGAGATCTTTTTGTAACAATCAGATGTGCATCTTACTGAAGGTAGCTAATGCTGATTTATGTTAGGTTTTTGATATCTCAACTCTGCAAATATTTTCACCACATGAGTTGGACTATCTACTCTGTGGGCGCAGAGAGCTGTGGAAGGTAACATTATCTTTGGAAGAATCCTTATGATTCGATTAAAACTTGACTTCCTTCATATCATTTGTTAAATACCATTGTTTTTTGGCAGGCTGAGACACTTACTGATCACATAAAATTTGATCATGGATACACAGCCAGAAGCCCTGCTGTCATTAATGTATGTTAAACCTCTGTTTCCCCTTGTTTCTAACACACAAAAGCACATACCAACAAGTGGGGGGAATAAAAAAAAAACAAAGATAGCCCATCCAACTTGCCTTGAAATAGCAGTATTTTATCATTTAAATGTAATTTCCCCACGTTCCTGGAATTATATCTTACAAATTGCTGCTTCTGGATTTTTTTTTTATAACTAGTAATGTGCTATTTTCATGTTATTAGCTACTTGAGATTATGGGGGAGTTCACCCCTGAGCAGCAACGGGCCTTCTGTCAGTTTGTTACTGGTGCTCCCCGACTTCCACCAGGTGGTCTGGCAGCGCTGAATCCTAAGTTGACCATCGTTAGAAAGGTAAAATTTTGGTCTTGATTTATATGCTCTCTTTTAATTGGTACTGCTCTCAAGAGTATTAACATACCGTCTTAACTGTAAAAACAGCATTCTTCAAACATGGGCAATACAGCAAACAATGGTTCTGGTCCATCAGAATCTGCAGATGATGATTTACCAAGTGTGATGACATGTGCGAATTACTTGAAGCTTCCTCCCTACTCCTCCAAGGTATAGGTTAAGTGCATGTTCGGTTGCTTAAAATATTTGCTTGATGAGTTCTAAAATTTGTATGTTTTTGTTGGTCAATTCGGGAAGGTATCATATATTTTGACTTTTTCACCGATAAATTAGGAAAAAGTAGAATATGTATATTCATATATGGGTGTTAAAATTGTTTATTATGTACTTGTTGAACAGGAAATCATGTACAAGAAACTTCTGTACGCAATCAATGAAGGGCAGGGATCTTTTGATTTGTCATGAACTACTCACAATACAATTTTATCAGAATTTCGACTTAAATCATTGTTGGAAGCAGCAACTGTCTACTTAATAAAGGATATCCCCTTACTGCCCATCTTGACCTTGACATTGTTAAGGTCAGTTTCTTTTACATAAAAATTGCAGTCAGTCATTCATTATGGTTTATGGATTCTATTCTCCCTCCAATACTTGATAGTTTTATTGGTTATGAATGTTAAACACAGATTCTGATCAAGCAATTTTTCTTTATTTTTCCAGACGAGATATCCTGTTTCTTTTCTAACTTGAATTTTGAATCTTCTTCAGGCCCATTGTGTTTCAACACATTCCTGCATAGGCTCGTGAGACGGGATTTTTTGGTGCTTGTAAATAATTAGACCATTTTGCTATCTGGGATTTTGGACAAGTTAAGCTGTATAGCACGCTGTCACATGTTTCCTTTTCTATACATTCTGTTGACATTGTTGCTTGACTTTGACAATTTTTGATTGGATTAATAAAAATTAAAGGAAGCAATCTTCAGAAATAAGAAGTATCCTGCCATTATGAATTACATAATTAGTTGAACAGTTTGTGGGTTATTTAATTTACAATATATTTGTACTTGTTAATCAGCGGTAATGAAAGTGGCACAAGGATCTTCGATTGACCAGGGGGCGTATTCTACCTTACTGTATTCGTTCTATTAAAGCGAAACTTCTATTCATAGTTGGTTTCCCACGTCACAGCGTCTCGCTTTTCAGGAATGTGTCTCCCCCTTAATATTGCTATTTTAGAAGACGTACTTGTGCATTTAATGGACTCGAATTAATCAGTGTTGCTTGGGGAAGAGGGAGTGTATAATTCAAATAGAAAGAGGGCTTATTGACGAGGCGAGGCAAATGACTTTTGTCCTGATATTGCGAAAGCACTCGCTGTCTAGATTTAAAATTTTCATGTCACTGAAGAATGTTGATGAGTTGGTACATGGTTCAAAAGCTGCTGAGTCCATTAGTTTTCGTGCGGTGTTTATAGCATCATTTTATTGCAGCTAAATGTCATGCTTTGTACCCATTTTTGTTTATCAATTAATCATGGAGATAATTTTATTGAAACAAAATCCACCGTAGGCATTTACATTTTCTTGTCATTGCATTTGTTTTAGGACAAAAATGTACTCAATAATATAAGTTCTTTTGTACTTGGCCTCAAACTTCTGATGCTTTAGTTAGCCGAATTGTTTGAATATTTAGAATCTATTTGAGAGTGATTTTTTTTTTCAAAAAAATTGATTTTTTGATCGTTATTTTACTATTTCAATCATCATATTTAATTTCTTCTCTCACAGATGGACCTCACTTTTCTCCCAACGGTAAAAAAAATTAATTTTCAAAATTACTCCCAAACAGGCTCTAAACATATAAAGCAATTAGTTGGGGGCCTTTGTAAAAGCAAAAAATAAAATAAAATAATAATAATAAATAAATAAAATATTCTTTAATATATTTTTCATTGAAACTAACCCATTTATTTTATGAGAAAATAACCCAAAAATCTATATTTTAAGTATACATTTCAAATATCAATTTTTTTTTTCACAAATTAGGGATTAATTCATCTTTTAAATTTTTTGTCCTGATATTGCGAAAGCACTCGCTGTCTAGATTTAAAATTTTCATGTCACTGAAGAATGTTGATGAGTTGGTACATGGTTCAAAAGCTGCTGAGTCCATTAGTTTTCGCGCGGTGTTTATAGCATCATTTTATTGCAGCTAAATGTCATGCTTTGTACCCATTTTTGTTTATCAATTAATCATGGAGATAATTTTATTGAAACAAAATCCACCTTAGGCATTTACATTTTCTTGTCATTGCATTTGTTTTAGGACAAAAATGTACTCAATAATATAAGTTCTTTTGTACTTGGCCTCAAACTTCTGATGCTTTAGTTAGCCGAATTGTTTGAATATTATGAGTCTATTTGAGAGTGATTTTTTTTTTCAAAAAAATTGATTTTTTGATCGTTATTTTACTATTTCAATCATCATATTTGATTTCTTCTCTCACAGATGGACCTCACTTTTCTCCCAGCGGTAAAAAAAATTAATTTTCAAAATCACTCCCAAACAGGCTCTAAACATATAAAGCAATTAGTTGGGGGCCTTTGTAAAAGCAAAAAATAAAATAAAATAATAATAATAAATAAATAAAATATTCTTTAATATATTTTTCATTGAAACTAACCCATTTATTTTATGAGAAAATAACCCAAAAATCTATATTTTAAGTATACATTTCAAATATCAATTTTTTTTTTCACAAATTAGGGATTAATTCATCTTTTAAATATTAATAATAATATTATACCAACATAGTGGGGGTGTGGTAACACTCTGTATTCTAGCCCACAACAAGCCCTTTGGGCAACAACATAGGGCCTGACTTTCGGTATTACCAAACCTCCATATGGAATCATATAATCAGTTGTGCCAAATTTTCTGATCCAGAGGATCCTCAAACAGGCAACTGCAGAGTATACTTTTGATACTACTTAGATCTTGTTCTTACTTATTCATTCTGGAATTTTCACAGTTGTCAAGACTATGGAAGAATAAAGAAAGGATTTTAGAAGAACATTGTTAAGATGAACAAACTTTTTATTAAGAAGAGTTGAGCTCGAGATGATCCTCAATGAAAGATAAGAGCTTCTTATATAGAGGAGGAGCCTCATCATACAACCGACACAAAACTAATAATACTACCAATGACTCATCACTTTTAGTACAATACTTATTACATAAGAACATGACTTTCAACTTAAAAGAACATGACTCATCACTTTAAAGGACATGACTCATCACTTTACTAGCATGACTCACTACTTTTAGTACAATAATTTTACAACCAT